ACCAGCCCCAGGTCTGAAAATCTTGCCGACCCCTGACCTAAAGGATTCCGATAAGAGAAATTTTCAATTATGGGTACTTAAGGCAGTGCAAAAAATATAATGGGGTAAGCCCTTCAGAACAATCACCAACAAAAAAAAGTACTCAAATGCTGCAGTGACCCCATGTCTCCTAACTCTTTGGGCAGCTTCTGTCATATTCAAATGGAGCTCAGAAAGGGATTATTTTTAATGCACAACTGTTAGTTCTATAAAGCAGCCTACATGTGCATTGTTTTGTATGAATCAGTTTAAACCTGTACTGATGTACTGGTGCATACAGTATTGATAAGAAAGAGCAACTTAACTTCCCTTTTTTGCTCATTCTTGTAATTTTTCAAAGAGACATCTGAAACACAGTTTGGAAGCAATGTCAAAGAAACAAGGTCTTTAATTAGCTAGATCTCTTTTATCTGTTTCTATATAAACCAGTAATGTTCAGCTTCCAATCTTCTGATATATATCCTATACATATAGGAAAACAGTTTTATAATATTCTAAGCAAACTCTGTGAAGTTCCATTACAACCGTATCTTCTCTTGGTACTTTATTTACTGACTGCCCTGCCATAATCCTTTTGATCTGATTAAAGGTAACATCTGGCCATTCAGAGGGATCTATGTATTGAATTTTGAAGAACTTGTGAGGACAAATTCATCCAGAAACTATGTATTGTAGTGAAAATATTTCTCCTAATCTTTTTCTCACATTAATGCCTCCAAGAAAAAAAAAATACGTATTTCCTATGTGACCAGACACTCAAATTTCTATCTCTTAACTCTGTTGCTGCTCATTATACTTTTGTTTCATTTCTTTTGAGTATTATTTTATAATTATATTGCAATTGCTATATACCTTGTAAGGGCAGGGGACTTTTCTTCTACCTTTAACTTCAGTGTCCTAAATAGAGACTTCTCCTCAGTGACTGCTCCAGATTACAGAACTCCCTTGGAAAGGAGGCTAGATCAGTCTCCTCCCTGTTCTTCTTTCACCAGACAGCAAAGATTGCTCTATTCCAAGAAGCTTTTAACAAGTGACAGAATGATATAGAAAGAAGTTTTTAATGGACGAGCTAGACTTTTTAATACTTTTATTTTATTCATTTACCATTTAGGAGTTTTAACCTCTTGATTTTTGTTTTAATTGTACCGATATGTCACAAAAGTCTTCCCATCAACGCCTCGAGGCCACCTTTTTACTTCAGAAACCTCCAAAGACGACTCGTGAATGACACTGGCACAACATCTGCCCTTAATACACTTTCCCTAAAGTTTCCAGTGTCTTCCTCCTAAAAATTTTAAAACTATGGTAGTGTGTTTCCTGTGCTTTTATTGCTATGAATTATCTCAGGCAAAAACTCTTCATGTAATAGTCAAACTTTACCTTTATTCAATAACATGCAGCAAAAATGTAGCTTACGTAGGATAGTTTTACAGATGGTTACAATAAATCAGCAGTTGCAGGTACAGTCAGCCCTCGGTATCCATGGACTTGCCATCCACGAATTCAACCACCTGCAGACAGCAAGCCCATGTTGTCGCAAATGGTGGCATGGGCACTTGACCGCACTGCTATTAGGAACAGTCCCAATTATCTCCACGTGCCCATGCCGCCATTGGGGACAATGAAGACTCCAACACCTGTGGATTTTGCTATCCAGGGGTGGAGTGGGTCCGGAACGGATCCCCGCAGATACAGAAGGCCAACTGTACTTCCTTTCTCAATTCCTTTCAATGAACTCCTCTAAAACTAAACTGTTCCTTTCTGCCTCTATTCTCTTCTGCCTCTGAACTCTTTATTCCTTTAATGAAAGTCTGAATTCCACCAGTGGAATTCAGCACTCAGCCTCAACTGGACCTTAACTGAGGGGGGTTGCAGACTGTCAAAAATAGTGTGAATTCAGTCCACTTTTAGGGTTAGGGTTAAGGTTAGGGAATCATGGGAACTGAATTTTATTGTGGCACTAGAGTTCTCTGACAAAGAAGTTCAATGTCTCAGAAAAATAACAATTCCCATGATTCCCTAGCACTAACTCTAACCCTAAAAGTGGACTGAATTCACACTATTTTTGACAGTCTGCAACCCCCCAGACTCTCAACTGACTGAACTGTCTCTCACTTTCCCCACTTTATATCCACTCCTCCCACAGCAGCTCTTCCCCTACAGCCAGCCTGAACTAGGCTCTCAGAGCGTCAGAATTAAGAGCTGAGCCAGTAGTTCTTGGCCCTGGCAGTCTTCTGTCTACCAACTAAATGGCATTTCCTAATCCCTCCTATATGATCCGCCTGGACTTCACTCTCTCTGTCCAGAGTCTTAAGGGC